TAAAGGTGTGCGCCACCAACACCCGGCCTCTGTATTGTTTTGAAGGTTGTCCTGGAACTAGCTCTGTACACCAGACTGGCCCTGAACTCACAGAGTTCCACCTGCCTCTGCCTCCACTCCTGGGATTAAAGGCATATGCCACCAATGCCTTGCTTAGAAATTCCAGCTTTTAAACTTTTTTTTTATTGTATGTATATGGATGTTAGTCTGTATGTGTCTGTGCATAGTATCTGCAGAAGCCAAAGGAGGGCATCAGATGCCTTGGGAGTAAAGTTACAGGAGGCTGACTACCAGGGTTCTGGAAATGGAACCTGTGATGGCTGTAACATCACCCAGTGTCTCTCTAGCCAATTTTTATTTAAAATTTATTTTCACATTTAAATTAAAATATTACATCACGTTCTCCTTTTCTTGTTCTCTTTCCATCCTTTCCCAAATTCTTCCCTTCCATTTTCTTCCTTGTTAAGTATGTGTGATTAAGTATACACAAATACATGAATAAAACCTGATAAGTCCATTACTGTTAATTGTGTGTATCCACATTGAACTGGATAAGCAATTAGGGATCGCATCCCTGCCTGAGGCTTATTCTCCCACCTGAAGGAGAATTCCACTCTTTAATGAGTAACAGGAGTCTGGCCCTGAAGAGACCTAGGCTGCCTTGGATAGGAGACATTACGAAAACCAGAAAGCTTTGGGTGGCAAATACCTCAGCTAACACTCGCTAGTGTCACGGACATGAAGTTCTGGTGCTGCTGGGAAGACTATGGACACTGGTCCAAGCCAATCAAAGTCTCCCTAGGTTCTGTGGGCCTTTTACCATACCCCAGTGACCATTCTCCCCTTGGATGACTTTGATATGCTGCCTTTCTAAGTACCACGGTTACAGGCTGTGTGTGTCACATGCCTGACTTAGGTGGCTTCAACTTCATTTAGTGAGGTGTTAGAATGACAGGGTAAGACAGGCAGTTACACTTACCTATATTAAAAAAAAAAAAAACACTTGAACTCTGTGAGCCTGGGTTTCACCATCTGTAGAATAAAGACAGAACTCTGAACTAGTCTTTTGATGAGTTAGAACAGACTCAATGATAGAGAAAAATAATACTGCTCATAGGTAGAAGACAGTAGACTTTAAATTAGGAAGGCTGCAGGCATTTGATGAGAGCCTTCTTCTGTTATCAGAGTTAGGACTGTCTCACGGCTACCATAACCAGCCAGGTTCAGCCACTCATCTTTATTAGGATAATTAAAAGAACAAAGTTATCCTGTTGTGACAAGTCCACTATAATACAGACACCCTGAAGGCAAGGTGGGTAGATCTCTCTGAAGTCCTAGGACAGCCTAGTTTCAGGCAAGCCATTCATAGTGAGACTAGTCCCTTAAAATAAATAAATAATAATAATAATAAAAGAAACAATAGAAAAGAAAAACCCCAAAGTATTAAGAAAAACTGAAAGCATATTTATTCAGTGTGACTAACTTGTAACAGTGAAGATATAAGGTAACCGATTGATCCTTGGAGAACAGGTTTAGATAGACAGCAAGAGACATGCACAGCTAAGTAATCAAACTAAGCCATACAATGAATGTTTTTCATCCCTAAATCCTTTCCCCTTCTCAGCTTTCACCAGTGCAAGGCATTCCAGGAAGAAGTAAGTGTTTCTTCAGGAGAGAAGTTTTCTTATGGAGGACCCAGTCTTTGCCCAGAATGAGACTCCCAGAAATCAAGATTTCATGGGGTCCACTGTTTCCTTAGTTGTTAGCCACAGGGAGAGATGCCTGTTTAGAATATCCTTATTCCTAATGGGTAGAAAGTGACAGGAATTGACAGTGTGGGGTCTGAGGAGCTTTAAGGTCCAAGTGGGGTCAACAAAACGGGATCCTGCAGGGTGCTGTCATTGACAGCTACATGTAATTGTCAAAAAAGTTAAGAATGAAAGACTTGGAGGGGGTAAGGCCACCACATCCATGAAGTTTTACATCTGCTTGAATTACTTCATGTAACTGAAGAGATTCGTGAAATCTAAAAGGGTGACCTTACAGTTAAAATTCATAGGGCTTTTTTTCCACGAGTTTACAGGTACAAATAAAAAGTACATCGTCATGCTTGAACAGATTGTTGGCACTTGTCAGATTTTTTTCTTCAGAATAAGAATTCATGTCTAACTGAATATAAGAGTATTGTCTAAAGTTTTTACCAAATCCTTTGCAATCAGTTTCCCTTTTGTACGATTTCTTTCAGGGTCTCAACAATTACTGTTAATATGCAAAGTCTGTACCAGACTGATTACACACTAGAGGTTTCACTCTTGTATGAAGACTCACGAAGTGCAATGACTTTGCTACACTGACTACATTTTTAGGGATTCTCTCCAGTATGATTTTTTGTCATGACTTCAAAGACGACTGTTACATGCAAAGGCTTGACCACATTACTTTCATTCACAGGGTTTCCTTCAGTATGTGTTCTTTTATGTATTTGGAGACTTCTGTGATGTGCAAAGGTTTTATCACACTGAGTACACTGGTAGGGTTTCTCTCCAGTATGTCTTCTTATATGTATTCGGAGATAACTGTGTTCTGAAAAGGCTTTATCACATTGATTACATTTATAGGGTTTCTCTCCACTATGTATTTTTTTATGTATTCGGAGACTAGCATTACGTGCGAAAGCTTTACCACACTGACTACATTCATAGGGTTTCTCTCCAGTATGTGTTCTTTCATGTACTCGGAGGTAACTATTTTGTGCAAAGGTTTTACCACATTGAGTGCATTCATAGGGTTTCTCTCTAGTATGAATTCTTTTATGCCTTTGAAGGTAATTGTGACGTGCAAAGGCTTCACCACATTCATCACATTTGTAGAATTTCTCTCCAGTATGAATTCTTTCATGCTTTTGAAGGTGACTGTGACGTGCAAAGCCTTCACCACATTCATTACATTTGTAGGGTTTCTCTCCCGTATGTGTTCTTTTATGAACTCGGAGAATATTGTGCTGTGAAAAGGCTTTCCCACACTGATAACATACATAGGGTTTCTCTCCAGTATGTGTTCTTATATGTATTTGGAGACTAGTAGGTTGTGCAAAGGCTTTATCACATTGATTACATCTGTAGGGTTTTTCTCCACTATGTGTTCTTTTATGTCTTTGGAGGCTGCTAAGGTGTGCAAAGGCTTTCCCACATTGATTACACTCACAGGGTTTCTCTCCTGTATGAGTTCTTTTGTGTATTCGGAGATAACTGCGATTTGCAAAGGTTCTACCACACTGACTACATTCATTGCGTTTTCTTCCTCTAAGAATTATTTCATGCCTTTGAACATTACTATGAGATGGAATGGCTTTGTCACATTGAGTATATTCACAGGGTTTCTCTTCAGTATGACTTCTTTCATGCCTGTGAAGATAATTGGCACATGTAAAAGCTTTACCAAATACATTACACTCATGATTTCTTTTATCTGAATGAATTAGTTTTATAATGTACAAAATCTTGCTTGTACAAATAAAGCCTGTCTGAAGGTCAGCAAACAGAGCTTGCCACTAGCTAACCATAGAGGTCTGGAGGTCAGTACATATAGACAGGAAGTAAGATAGCTGGGCAGAAACAGGAAGTGAGATGGCTGGGTACAGACAGGAAGTAAGGTGGCTGGGCAGAGAGAGGATTTAAGTGGGAAGAAACAAGAGCTTGCTCTCTTGTCTGCCGGGAGGTTAGGAGGTAAAGGTGGTTGTGGCCTTTTCCTTCTTCTCTCTCATCTCTCAGCATTTTCCTCTATATCCAACTCTGGGTTTTTATTACTTAGATCAATTAGGACCTCCTTTTTAAAATTCTATCTAATTGTAAAGAGGAATCAGATCTTAAGGTGTTCCCCTTCATTAAGGGTTGTTTTGAGTTTTCAAAGAGACCAGTGATAACAACCTTTATTATATGGCTCACATTTATAGCATCCTTTATAAGTTTTCCCACATATCTGAAGAGAACTGAAAAAACTCGTATCTGTGACACACTGACTATATTTGTAATATTCCTATACTGTGAATAATATTTGCAAAGTGAACCAGCACTAACCAAAAATTTCTACATTTCAAATACTCATAGGGCTTTTCTGCAGTGTGAGTTTATTGATGTATTTCCAATGCAGTTAAAAAACTAATTAATGAACTTGTATCATATTGAACAAGTCTACTGTGAGAACTACTACATAACTTGTAATTACTCTGGGAAAGAGATTACTCTTTTCCATATCCCTGTGCTCATATGACTTGTATCCAGAGTGACATATGATATACTTACTGAAGGAAGAATAATAAATAAAACTTTTCCACATTGCATTCACACAGTTTGAGTTTCTATTCCTCACAGACATGTGATATAGGCATCAAGATTCTTCTACAACAACTTTCTTGGCCCTCATAAACTTCCCTTCTCACTAAACTTAGCAAAGTCACTACAAGTACATGAGTAACACCAGCTTTACTATGGACTATTTAGTTATTAGAAGATTTTGGACATATACTTATCATCTATTCAATGTGTGTACCTTTAGCAATATCTGAGTGTTATGAAACTGATTGACAGTTCTACAGCAGAGCTCTCATAGGGCTATGATTCAAATGGTGATATCTGTTAAGGGATTGTTTCCTTGTCTTTTTTCTTAAAAGAATGACTTACAAACACAAATTGGCCCCCTGACATTGAGGTACATGATTTTGTAAGAACTTCACAATCATCAATAAACTTAAGACTGTGCTTATTGCCAGGCTGTGGTGGCGTACGCCTTTAATCCCAGCACTCGGGAGGCAGAGGCAGGCGGACCTCTGTGAGTTTGAGGCCAGGCTGGACCGACAGCCTCCAAAACAATATAGAGAAACCCTGTCTCGTAAAACTAAAAAAAAAAAAAGAAGACTGTACTTATTTATACTGTTGCTTTCCCTTAAAACTTCCAGGCCACATTAAAATTTCTTCAGAGGCATATTTGATGGAACATGAAAATTACCTTTCGTGTCTTCTAGAACTTTGACAATGTTCTTCAATATTATGATTTTTCCAACTGTAGCCTAAAATATAGTACAATAAAATGCATGATGTATTATTGGAAACTATATAAAAATTTAAGTTATTATCTCCAATAAATCTCATAACCCTGCCTGATTTATTCAACTCATTCTTCCTTTCTCAATCAAAATTATAGAAAAGCATTAATAACCAAGAAACAGTTGCCCCCTTATTTTAAAAAAATGAAGGAAAATTCAGTCTTACCTATAGCAGTAAGGTTCCTGTAGGTTTCCAGCATCACATCTTTGTAGAGATTCTTCTGGGAAGGATCCAGCAAAGCCCACTCTTCCCGAGTGAAGGTAACATTCACATCATCATAGGTCACTGCATTCTAAAATATCCCATACATGTGTACAACAGAAAGTGTGATAGTAACAGTGTAGTAAATGTATACTTTGTTGAAAATATATTCATAGATTTCTGGTGCTTCCCAGACTTATTCCATAACACATAAGTTCTAATGTAATCACAAAGTCAGTTTAGAAGAAAACTGAATAGGAGGTCCACCTCTGTCATTTCTGCATCCTTTGATTGGGATAGCCTTGCAAGAGAAATGCTGACTAACAGACTTAAAAAGAGAAAGACAAGCAAACAGATTAAATGTACTGAGTAAACACCAGAGACATTGTATGAACAATTACTAACTACAAAAAACATGGATAAGCTCGGTGTATTGTCTCATGCCTATAATCCAAGCACTCAGAAGGTGGAAACAGGTGTATCTCTTTGAGTTGGATGCCAGCCTGTTCTAGGCAATGAGTCCCAGGACAGACAGAGGTACATTTTAAGACCCTGTCTCCCTCACAAAAATCAACTGATCAAAGAAAAAGTACAGAAAGAATGCAGAGGTTTTTGCTGAAGTTCCTAAAGATTTATGTATTCACTGCAGTTATGTCTTCATTTTCCTGAAACCTGAAAAGTTCAGTTTAACAGTACCATTAATAAGATGTTATTAAAAGGGAATGCATGTCTAAACAGTTACAAATGGATAGATGAATACATTACGATGATAAATGCTGATCATAAACAAACAACATAGGGCAGGAGAGATGGCTCAGCAAATGGGTAGGCCCAATTGCCAGTAACTACATGGGGCTTCACAACTACCCATTACTCCAAGTTCAGGAGTTCTGAGGCTGTCTTCTGATAAGACACACAATGTGGTGCATGTCCATGCATACAGGCAAAATACTCATATTCACCTAAAAAACCCTTCAAAACATATACAACAGGTAGTACAAACTATAATCCAATAGTTCAGAAGGCTGATGCAGTACTACATGTCATGAATACAGCTGCCCAATTTCAAAATCAAAGTGTGGTTGAAGATTAGCACAGCAGCATATGCTTGACATGTATAAAAGCCTACATTTCAGGCCTACCAGCAAATGACATGAAAACACAAAGAGCCAGGTGTGTTGGCCCACTTTTAATCCTAGCACTGGGATCCCTGAGTTGGAGGCCAGCCTGATCTACATACATATTTTCAGGACAGCCAGAGCTACACAAAGAAACCCTGTCTTCGAAAACAAAAACAAAAAAATTAAAACAAACCAAAACAGCAGGGCAGCAAAATCATATCTCAATGAATAGCAGTTGCTTCTAATGTAATGTGATTTAGGGTGCTGAAAACATAACAGCATGAAAACAAAGCTAGCATGAAAAGGGAGCTAAATGATCAGCTTTAACCACAACACAATAGACACAAAGAACAGGAAACGGGTTGAGGCTATATGCAAATCCCATCCCCAATGAGGAAGTTCATCCAAAAACCCTCCTACTACTAAAGTTCCATAGCACCCCAAAGAAAGCCACTAAGGAGAGAAAAGTGTTTACATGCATCATCCTATGTAGATTTTTTTTTCACGCAATCAACTACATTCTGAACTAAGTCGCTATAAGATCATGGTCATCCCATGATGAAAAATCACTTATTCTAATGTCAAATATCCTCATAGTCTGTAATAGCCCCTACATTTGTCCAAATGTCCAAAGTGTCTTCTGATACTCAAGGCAATTCTTTACTGTGACACCTTGTAAACTCAGAAAACAAGTTACATCTTTCCAACATACAATGGCACAGAATACCAATTCCCCTTCCAAAAGAGAGGTATGGAGACACAGCGGGGGGGAATTGGATCAAGGCAAGACTGAAATCCAGCAGGATAAGGCAAGGCTGAAACCCAGCAGGGCAAGCTCTGACTCCTGTAGTTCTGCCTCAGACACATGGGGCTTTAGTTTCAAAGGGCTTAGATAGCTGCAACCCTGCAACTTCTCATGCATCTCATCTCTTACCTCCACTCCACACATGCAGCTCTCCATGACAGGTATCTGATAGCTTCGGTATCTCAACATCTTGTGGTCTCAGATTCATGCAATGAACTTTAAGTCCCCTACTAGAGCTCTGATTCTACCAAACATAGATGCCTGCACAACAGTGCTGTACTGAAACCACAGACTAAGAAGTTGAAATTTTGACTCTTGTTTACAGAACCACTACAACAAGGATGGTCCCCCCCAAATTTGGCTTCTAAGTTGGACCACAATTGCAGCAGGTAAAGATGAAGCTGCTTCCTGGGACTTCACTTTGCCTACTCCTACCATTAACTGATGGAGTGTTTGTTACCCTTACAGCACCTACTTAGACTTCCACTGTGGAGCAAAGGTCCTGCCTCTGTTTTAGCACTTGTTGCCATTTTAAGCTACCTATTGCCATTTTTTTCTCTACAACCCACAGATTTTATTTATTTCTGCACCACTTGTTGTTTTTCCACTGTAGTCAATATTACATCTAAGAAAACAGTCCATTATTTTTTAACTTTGCCACTCAATTTCTCAGTGCATGAGCAGGGTAAGATTTTGGAGTTGGGCTGTGGTGGCACACACCTTTAATCCCAGTACTTGGAGGCAGAGGCAGGCGGATCTCTGTGAGTTCTCTACAAGAGCTAGTTCCAGGACAGCCTCCAAAGCCACAGAGAAACCCTGTCTTGAACTCCCCCTTCCACTCCCCCAAAAAAGAAAGATTTTGGGCCAAGTTATCACACAATGACCTCTAGCTTAACTTTTCATGGGCTCTATTTCCAACTGAAATCCTATGACTTTGAAATCCTCTGTCTGCATTACTCTAAACATTCTCATCTTCCTGGTCCTACAAGAACAGCCAATTATGCTACATGTATAGCTTTTGCTATTTAAAGTCCGGTTATCTCCTATGTTTCTCCAAAAGTCAACATTTTCAGGTTCTTCCCAGCAACAACATCTCTTTTGTTGTACCATATTTTGCTCCTCTGCTTCTGTGATTAAATCCTCTAACCAAAAACATCTCAGGTAATGAACAGGTTTATTTGGCTGATTCTGCCAGATCACAGTCCATAATTTTGAGAGCTTAGGTTAGAAATTCAAGCTAGAAAATGAAGGCAAAAAACAATGGCAAATATTGTTTCTAACTTTCTCTCTTGTTTGGTCACTGTCTCAGGATCAGCTAGTTCTCTTATTGAGCCTAGGCCCACTTGCTTAGGGATATTGCCAGCCTCACTGGAAGAGTCTTCCCTCATCAATCATCAACCAACACAATGTCTCAAAGACATAGTAACCAGTCAATCTTATAGGGGTCCATGCTCAATTGAGGCTCACTCAGATGATTGCAGGCTCCGGATGCTGACAACTGACCCTAAGTAGGTCAGAGAGACGATAATAGATGAGAAAGCTAAAAATCCCAGACCAGTGTGTGGCACCCGCGCCACAAGCAACTCCGAGGTATCATGAAAAGAAAGACCAGATGTCCAGCTGTTTGTACTAAGAAGTGTCTTTACTTTTGCAAGTGCTAACAGGTCTCTCTCTTGTAGGAGGGAGCAGTCTCACAACACAGTAGAAAAACCCCAGGTGGAAGAGAGCGTGTATTCCTCATGCTAGATGTTGATGTCAGTGGGGTAATGCAGGGGCAGTAAGCCAGGACTAGAAAACAGGATGCACCTGTGGCTATCAGCTGACAAACATCTCAGAGACCCTGTGGGCTAGGCCCCAACATAGTGTTAATTGTATCAATCACTTCAAGCATCAGAGACCCAACACCGATGACTGCAAAACCTGGAAAGATGGATGCATCAAGAAATGAGAAGAGAGCCTTCAGCATCAAGAAAAATAAAATTAAACTGTTTCTCCACAGAAAGTCCCCAAACCAACAAAAGCTCAAGGAACTCATAACATAATATAGTCAAACATTAGAAGACAAAAATAGGTGAAAGCTTATCATTTTCCAGAGAAACAACAATATAATTAGAGTATAATTAATAAAATCACATAACATAGGTGGCACCACCGATAAAGGGGGACATAAACACTTGTTATGAATTTGACATGGTCCCTTAAATAATAACTACAAGATTCTAACCAAAATCAAAATCAAAGAAATCACTAGCCAGCACTCACCCTATGCACTCTGGTTTTTCCCTTTGCCAAAATTAGAAAATGAGTTTAGCAAGGAGGGCTATTCTACCAAAATTGGAGAGATTTACTTAAAGCTTCTGATGTTTCAACATTGTAGAAAATAGTTGTGGCTACTTAAAATATCTCACTCCCTTATGAAAAAGAAAATGATATTTGTTAGGATTACTTAGAAACTACTTTGTTCCCAATGATTGAAGATTGAATGTAAGTGCAACAGGGTGTGGAAATGTAAATTTTTAAAAACCAAATGCATGATAACAGATTTTTAAAGAAATAATGTATGATTTATATTATATACCTAAAGCAACTTGTTTTGTTCTAATTGCTTTATAAAAGTCATGAGCACTTTTGAAAACCAATCTCTGCTCATCTTTATATATATGTTTTTGTGTGTAAGAAAGAATGCTCCATGTGTATACAGGTGACAGCAGAAAAGAGGATTCAGATCCTCTGGATCGAGAGTAGCAGGTGGTTATAAGCCTCCTGACTTTGGTGTTTGTTTCCCAACTCAGGTCAATCCCAAGAATAGTTGATGAGTGACCTGCTGAGCCCACATAGTACTTCTTATCCAATTAACTCGAAGTCTTTCATAGACTAAAAACAACAAAACCTAAATAAAGAAGGAACCATATAAATGATCCCCGTGAACCTGAAGCCCAGTATTAAGATATTGGATATAGGACCAGACAGGCTGCTGCTCATGGACATTTGCCACTCTGTTACCAGAGACACAATACTCAAGAGTTGCTCCTAGTGCTGTATACACAAGTTGCAGCTTCCCCTCCCCCATCCACACCTATAGATCACAGAGCATCCTTACCATGCCTTTCCTCTCACCCCATATTTGCGTCCCAGCCCTGAACTTCGGCAGACACCCCCAGCTCA